CTAGTAATGCCTCCCTCTAATAATATTTTGTTTATGTGTGTTTCGGAATTCATTCAATTTCAGAAGTGAGCCCAAAATTTTGGGAGGTGCTTTACTGGCATCCCTTTCAAGATGAAGGAAATCAACTTCCATATGACGTGAAAGTGGAAGATGATTGCTGGTATGGGAGGGTTGACATGCCTGGAATTGGAAGCAAAGGAGTGAAGGTGTGGTTTCAAAACAACACCTTGCATTTCAAAGGTGAAGAGAAAGATAAGGGCCCGTTTCATGGTGCTAGAAACTATTCAGGCAAATTTAATATCCCTGCTAGTGAGTATCAGATTGATAAGATTAGTGCTGTTATGAATGATGGGGTGCTTAACATTGTCATTCCCAAGATCGATGGTGCTTTATAATTCGTACTCTATTTTTTTTCTTAGTAGTTCGTTGTGAATGATTTGAAGTTGGTGATAGTTTAGAAGACCCTAGTGATTTCTGTATGTTTTAGCAACGCTTTATTCATGTAACTATACAGGCAGATGCTTTTGAATGAGTGATTCTTTTCTTTTCAGATGATTTGAGAACATTATCCCAAAGTGTTAATGTATTGAATGATTTGCTTGTCTGACTGAATTGCATTCCTAGTTAGATTATCAGTTGTGTTTTTGTTTGAATTGACAGTGCTTATAATTCAAGTATGTTTGCATTAAAATGGAAACTATTATTAAAGGGATTTGTTTTTTCATTGAATCTTCAAGCTTCATAGTGTAGAGAGTGTGATGAAAGTGTTTTTGTAAAAATGATTTTACATGTGTGTGTTTAGCATTTTGTTAGCTTTTTTAATCGTTGTTTGAAAAAATAGATTTTAAAAAGTTATAAAATACAGCTTTAAAATAACATATATTAATTAACCAAATACTTTCAATTTTTAAATATGTGGTTAAAGCAAAACGCGCATGTTAAATGTTAAAGAGTGTCTGAAAGATGGCGCGCGTTCATTTTTCGCTGAATTGCATCATAAGAAAGCTAGCACTCCTGGAATTCTTGCATTTCATGGAAGTTTCATAGTGGTACACTGTATATGTTAGTTTATTATGCCATAACCAATCTGTTTATATAAGATATTATTATATTTATGTAAATATATATTTATTATTAATAAAAATTTAATTTATTTTTAATATTTATTTAATATTAAATTAATAAATTTAATATTTAATTTATGAATCTAGAATAAAGATAAAATCTTTATGAATCTAGAGTAAAGATAAAATACTTTGCAAATGAAATTATAAAATTATTATAATTATGAGATTTTTATTGCATCAAAACATTGTTCATGGTTGATATTTTCTTAAATATTGAATATTTATTAAAGTTGTAGAGATTAATACATATTTTATATTTTTTTATAAAAAAAAACTATTCTCGTATGTTGAGATATAAAAAATGCCTAGAATTAATATATGGATGTTTGTTATAACAATTATATAAAAAGCGATCATCTTTGTCTATGAACAGAAAAAAGTTATGTGGTTCTTAGATTTGAAATCACTAAGTTATCTTATATGGAGAATGTTATGCTTTGATCCTATTACATGTCATCTTAATCGAGATAATGAAGAGGGAGATATTGGGTATAAAATTGAATTATATGAAAGTACTCGATTGATCAAGAAATAATTCATTAACCTAGGTGAATTAAAACAAATATTTCATTTGTTCTTAAATAGTATTGATCGAGAAATCCATGGTCAAGGTGAAATGAGATTTGAAAAGAATTTCAAATCTTATTTAAATGATTAATGACTATTATCTAGAAAATAAACATAATTTAATATAATAGATATACTCCATGCTTTAATGTTAAATTAAAATATTATTAATAAAAAAAATATTAATTGAATTGAGAAATTAGCTACTAATGATTCATAATGTAAAACACAAAGGAAGGTTTTAAGTAAAAAAAACTAACTAATCATGGAATGTGCTTAAAAGTTAAAAACACGAATACAAATTACACATATTTAGATCTAGGGTTGATATATGATCTAAATGTTCTATTGGATCCAGATGAGAGAACTTTAAAAAAATTTATTTGCCTAACTAGTCCAGAATCAATTAGCCTTCAATATAGGCTTTGAGTGTTCATATAGCCTAATAATGCAACACTTTTGAAAAAAGAAATTAACCTATTCAAAGGCACAAATTTGGACACAAACATTTCAGAAAACACAAGCCCAGACAAGAGAAAATTGACTTTAAATTATTGCTCCTACTCATTGTAAAATAGGTATTTAACATTAAATACTCTCATATTATTCAATCATAATTAGGTCTATATAAAAATGTTGAGGAGCATGATATGCCAAAAAATTCAAATAACTTAAAAACACGATTTTTAGATTGAATAATTAATTAATCAATTGAGTTTAATAATTTCATATATTCTTCTTAGTCAAGATAGTTAATAAATTGTACTTGATGCTTGATAGACTAAAGTGACTCTTAACTAGTATTTGCAAAAGGTCTTATCTAGTAGATGTGGGGACTCTCAAATGTTTAAGTAAGTATTTTTTGAAAGAGAGAAAATACAATAATATTCTAGAGAGATACTATGAAAATATGTATGTAGTAGAGAATTATGATTGTGAATCTTCATTTTAAAGGATTCATGGTATATTTATAGCCTATGAATCTTGTTATTTTTATGGAAAGGTGGAGCTGGAGTGTAATTTCACCTCAGTGATATTTTTAGTTGTATTTTACTAATTTTATCTAGCTAAAAGTTGGAGACATGACATGTCATGAAAGATTTTAATATATTTAATAAAGTTGGAGACATGACATGTCATGAAAGATTTTAATACATTTAATAGTGTTGGTGAAGTGTAAACTTGTTTAATTAACCTTATTTGTTGAGAAATAATTCCTCTAAAATTTATGTAAAAATATATGGAACTGATGATGTTAGAAGCCTACCTTGTTGGCCTAGCAACATGTTAGGCCAAGTCGCTGGGCCTTGAAGACGTCAAATCTAAATTGTGCCTGAATCTGGCAGGCACTAAATATATATTGCACTTAGGCCTAATTAATTGGCAAACCCACATGTTGGGTGTGACAGCACCAGATCTAGCAATAATTTGATTTGATATTGGTAAACGTATAGATCTAGCAATAATTTGATTTGATATTGGCAAATGCAGATCGTGTTTGGGTTTCTTAGGTGCCAGACCTAGCCACATTTAAGTCTAGCTTTGGCTAAACCCAACAACACTTGGATTTGGCCAGCGTTAGACTCAACCTAACATGCCTAAGAATACAAGAAAAATATTATTTGTATGTTTTTCTTAATCTAACATTTTTTTAAAGAAAGACATAAAAATACACTAATAAATCTTAATTCATCATAATGAATTACCTCTATGATAATATTTTTTTTCATTAAACAATGAACTATTAATCATCATAATCATAAGAGGCTATTATCTCAAATGATTGTTATTAAAATATTATAGTGTATTCCCTACTCTATCTCTGTCCACATGCATGTTAACATGGTTCAAAGCTATATAAATGATCATGAACCATTAGATAAGATAAAGTATAACTTCATAAATTCTCGCTCCATAAACTTTAATGCCAAGAATTATTTGTGCATTTCTTATTATCTTCTTTATTATATTTTTACCAACATAAACACTAGATAGCCTCTAAGATTTCATTTCTCGTGTATTTTTATTAATTTATTTTTGTTAATTTAAAGGAAAAATTATAATACTCTTATAATTTGATTGATTTTTTATTTAACCTTTGAGATAAAACAAGAAAGAATAATAGAGGGGGTGTGAGAGGAGGGGGAGGCTATGTTTTGAGAGGACTGAAAAGGGGTTTAATTTTAGGGTTTTTTTTTTGGTTTTTTTACTTGTTAACATTTTGTAATGGATTTAATGATGGTTGAACTGATTTAGTTTCACTTAATTAATTTTAGATTTTGGAAACCAAAATCAAATCAAGATTTTTTTTAGGTTTTTTAATCAGTTAATTTGATTTTTTTTTATATTTGGTTTATTTATTTATTTATTTATTTCTTTAGTTTAATCGATTTCTTTTTTGTTCAACTCTAGTTTTTATCTTGGTTAAATTAAGTTTATATTTTTTTTTTAAAGAGAGAGGGAAAGATAATGTATTTGCAGAGAGGGAGAGTATTTGATTTTCTATATATATATATATAAAAGAGTAGTTTAGTCCTTTCATTTAATTTGAAAATTTTGATTGATTTAGATTGTAAAGTATACTTTTTTAAGATAAAAAAAAAGAAAAAAAAATCAAACCAATAAGAAACTCGATATAATTTAATTTCTCTAATTTAAATATTGGAGAATCATGTTATCCCAACAATGAATTATTTTGCATTTACTCATTATTTTCAAGTTCAATAATTTGTCCTCGTTATCTTAGCCCAGTCATTTTCCCTTGGAAAGGCCATGATCCAGTGGGGTTTTTTTTTAACTACCTCGTTACATTTTATTATTTTTTTAGATTTTTGATGTCTTATTTTTCTTTTTTAATTTTGTAAATATTTCGTACCCACAAAGACACACTTCCCAATTTTACCTTTTCAATATTTTCATTAGAAAAAATTCATTATTTTCGAAAATGCTTCAAGAATAATCTAAAAGAAGACATATTGCCACTCCAAAAAAAAAAATCCAAGGTCCTCGTAAAGAAAAATAACTAAATATAAACTTTAATTTTTAAAGGAATTAAGTCATTAACCATCCCATTGAGGAGCACCCTGTACTGTCGCAGATGACATAAAGAACAAAAATGCAATCCAATCATCACAAATGATCATCTTAAACTTGTTTGCCATGCCAGCAGTTTCAATACAACCACACAAAATAAACCTTCTTTGCAAACGTGCGTGGGAAAATGATGGATAAACATACAATATGGCTCTCTAAGAGAGGGAGATCCTGAAAACAATACCTCGTCTGGTATATGGTTAAGTATTATCCCTAAAAGCAATCGATATTGTTCATGTTTTCATCGGAGAAAGAGTCGTTAACAAGCTCTTGCAAAGCAATATCGTCCATATTGAAAAGCCCATAATCAGCTGGCATCTCTAAATGTGGTCCAAGGTCACTAGAAACCGAGAAGTAAGCATTGCTATTAGGAAGATTATCAAGTGAAACATTGCATCCTTGGTCCTGGTGCAGTTGCTGTGCATTTTGCCTAGGTCGCTGCATCTGAGATGGTCTGTGATAAGAACTGTTACCAAGAGGCTCCGTTTCTGCAGTATCACAGCTATGGTTTTGTGCACTTCCGAGTCCAAAATTCAAGTTGATTGGGCCCTTGTGGCCTCCAAATGAAATTGAGGTACTAGGAGGACAGCCAGTGAATTGTTGCACTAAGGCTCTAAAATTAGCAGTGCTGGCATTGATGAGGGTTGCTGGCGTCTTCTTTGAAGCTCTAGACCTCCTTGTGACTGGCTTCGACACACAACCTTGAGTGGTCAACCTCTGATCACCAGTACTTGATGTAATCGATGAGCTGCTTGGATTTATGCTATGATCAGATGCACCACTTGGTACATCAACAATGGTGGCATCTGAGAATCCAAAGGAAGATGTTGCCTGTCCATGCATGCTGGCTTGTTGATGGAGTTGCACCCAATCACTCGATGGACTAGCCATAGTGTCACTCATGGTGGCTTTGATTTGTACTCTTCAATTCTCAGTATGATGCTGTATTAACATGTGTTATTTAGCATGGAAAGGAACAAACATGTAGGCTAGTCATATAGACGCCGAGGAGACAATCTTCGGTCAAAGTAAAAGTGCATACTTTTCACCATTCCTTGGAAGAGAAACAAGGCCTGGGCCACAAGTGTAGCTTCCTCGAAGCAACATTTGTTTCCGTCACCTTTAGACTTATAGTAGGTTGTTTTTGGAGCTATTCGAGATGGTCTTAGCATCTTGTTTATATTATTAATATAGGATCATCCAAAGGATATTTTATTGCATGCATGGAATCATCCTAACAATGAATTAATCAATCCAACATATATTATTGTACTAAATCATTTTTCTTACACCATTTCCTTTGGATGGACCGAGTTTAACTCATAGTTGTGAATCAAATTAGAGTACGGATTTTATATAGTTTTCATATCTTTCACCAACATATAAATTTATCATTCTCTCTATAAATCAAGATCCATAAAAAATGATTTGATTTAATGACGTGTCTAGTTATTTAAATTACTGCTAGGTCGGGGCTACATATACGGACAGATAAGTCTCCATCGCAGTACCGACTTTGACTTTTCAACACAAGACATCGTGTAAACTCGTATATCTCTAACATAACATGCACGCCCAAGTCTCTTTTGACTAGAATCAAACATCCAATTGGGTTGTCCCTTCAGTACAAGAAACGTCACCAAGCCATTCAATTTCATTTCTTCTTTTTTTTCTTTTCTATAAATATGAAAAAAAAACCCCTCTATTCCAGATAATTAAAGGCAGCTTAGTTATCAAGAAAGATCAATTTTATCAAATTATCAAAAACTTTGTAGATCAGAATGGACCCATGAGTGATTAATTTATATCAAAAACTTTGTAGATCAGAATGGACCATGAGTGATTAATTTACTTTTTTTTTTTTAGATTAACGTGGGTGTCCGGGCCAGCTTGCGCGCACCACGACTAATCCCCACGGCCCACTGAATATCCTGCAAACCCAGTAGGCATGTAAGGCACCGCGGGGGTGACAGACGTGCACGCTAGGACTTGAACTCAGGTGCAGTGAAAGGGACAAGCCCCTTTCACCACTAGACCAAGCCCTAATTTGCGATTAATTTACCTTTTTACTTGGCTGTCTAATGGTATATATACAACTAATCAATGAATGATTAATTGTAACATCCATTTTTATATTATAATAACAGTTATTTTTTAAAATATTTGTAATATATATAAATAATATTTTAAAAAGATAATAACAATTATTTTTTAAAATATTTATAATATATATAAATAATATTTTAAAAAATTAATTTTTAATATTAATACATCAAAATAATTTAAAATCATACAAAAATTATCTTTTTATAAATACATTTTTCAACTATAACCATGAAAACAAACATAAGGTAACATAGCTACCTAATCTTATATAACTAAGACTTATTCTCTAATCAAAATTAGTTATTCAGCACATGGTACTAATGATGTTATTTGTCATTAATGTATTTCTTAAATCTTTTTAAATGAAACAGGACATGTAGCAGGAATATCAACACGATCAACAATTCATTAATTTTCACGAACTTTTTTTTTTATGGAATACCCACCTTAGATGTAAGTTTCTTGGAAGTTCCAGCTCTTATATCAATGTGAACATGTAATTAATTAATGAAACCAGCTAATACAAGATTGGTTTGAACATAATACCCTATTCAGCACTCGATTTTGTTACAAATCGATGACTTGTCATTAATCTCCAGAACATTTATGCCATCACTCTGGCCCTACAAATTAATTAAGTAGTGGTATCAGAATAATCAATATATAATTAGCGTTTCATAAATGTACCCGATGATGATATCGCAGTTTGTGACCTAGGCATTGATGTATTTCTGATCTTGTTTAATGGATTAGCCAGGATTATGTTCCCACCTATGCCAAATGGAAACGACGTAAATGCCTAAAGCTAGGCCTCTGCTGATCTCTAAAATTAAGGGTCAATTCAGGAAATATGATTCCAACAGGGCTTAGCCATTGATTAGCTTGCAAAGTTGGCGAGTGTAAAAGATGTGGTTTTGACCAAGGGTCAATTTCCAAACTCATAATAATGTTTGAAAGGATTGTTAAACATCCTTACTACTTGCATAGTTGACAGATTTGATCTATCCAAGGACTAGTTCGATTAATAACCTAATTAATTTGGTTATTGTGTGCATGCGTAGATCATTGAGTTAATAATTTTTATTAAAATAACATTATTTTTTAAAAACATATTTAGTGTAGATCTAATTAGATTTGACCAAGTCAATTAAATCACTGAAATTCTTTATATTTTAGTCTAATTTTACTAAAATATTATTTTATTAGAATTAATTAAAAATTCAATCTTAAAATTTTTAAATTAATCTATGATCAGATTTAACAATTATTATTATAAAAACTATTTTAAAAGGGTATGGTATGGTATAACTTAACCATGAAGGCATCAAGTTTCCCCTTCAATTGATATTTTTCCTTTTCCTCTATATTCAGCTGGTAGAGTTCTTTCCTCCAACAGAAAAGGATTATTGCAAGTCTTTTCTATTATAATCCTATTCAAAGTTGAAAAGTTGAAAACATGGATATAGCATATATATTTACCACTCTTATTGTCAAAATCCAAGACTTGGCATGATATATCAATTTCCATTTTCGCTGAACTATATTTTTGCCTTTGTAGATTCTTCAATGCTCCACTTCTATCCCCATAGTTTATAATTTCCTAATATAGTTATTAAAAAGTTCCAATTTTATCATTCATTACCACATAACTAACAACAAGCTTACTTTGTTTTGTTCATATTTTATTTTAGTTTTTCTATTTTTTCCTCTTAAATCCCCATAAAAATGTTACAATCTCCATAAAAACACTTAAAAAAAAACTCAAAAACCAAATTGACGAAGTAAGTTATGTAATTATTCAGAGCAAAATTGGAACTTTAGTAAAGTAGAAGGGTAACGATGAAAACATTTTAAACCATATAGGAAGAAGTGGAAATCTCTTCGTTTCAGGTGACCCAATGCAATTACGTTGAAAAGTAAAAAAAGATGAAAATAGAGTTAATTATAACTTAGATACCATAGTTTAATATAATTAATTAGTTAGTCCTTACAGTTTTAAAAAATCATTATTTCATCCTTGTGGTTTTAAATTCACTTGTGACTTGGTCCTCTTGACAAGTCGACATCTTTTTTTACTATTCTCTTGAAGGGAGGATAAGGAGAGAGAGAGGTTGAATTTTTTTTTTTTTTTAGATTAATGTGGGTGTCCGGACTAATTTACGCGCACCACGACTAATTTCACGGGTCCTGAAGTTAACGATCATGTAAGCCTCCAGTGGCCATCATATGAGCAACTAAGGATTCGAACCTGAGACCACAGAGGAAGCAAACCCGAGGTTGAAAATTTTACTACCTTACAGTGGCCATCATATAAGCAACTAAGGACTTGAACCTGAGTTCACAGAGGAAATAAACCCGAGGTTGAAAATTTTACTTAGACATGAAGGTACCTTCGAAAATATGGATGGTCAACTTTGGTCAAAGGAGTAATTAATTATTTTCAACAGCGCAGGGAATAATTAATTAACTATGATAAGCGAAGTTTTGAATTTGAAAATATTTTTTATTTTTTAAAATTTATTTTTAATATTAATATACTAAAATAATTTAAAAACATTAAAAATATATATTTTGAAAACACAGCTTAACCGATAATGTGAGAATACACTTAGAGTACGGTGGGTGATGACTTGGACTAAAAAGTAGGTACACAACAAGGACAGGTGAAATAAGTCAAAGAACATGAAACCCATAAAATAATTTAAAGATCAAACCTATCACATTTGATTTTTTTCACATGAATCATAACCAACTTTTTTTCTGTGTTTGACTTGAAATGTTAATTTGATGAATCTGTGGGCATATTTTGCTCGGGCCGGGCCCTGGGTGGATTTGAAATAGAGAAAACCAGAGCCCTGGGTGGATTTGAACAAAACATATATTCTATGTGAACCTTATCGAAGGAGTTGTGGTTTTAGCCAGAGGATGGACAAAACAAAAAACAAAAAATAGTGGTTTTAGTTAAAGGATGAATAAAAACAAATTATTAATGAAGGTAAAAGATATAAAAAGTATAGGCATTGCATCATGTATATAGAGGGTGGTTGAAGATTTTTCTTTTGCTTGGCATAACCTCATGCAAGCTTATTACCTTTTTTTTTTATTGGTTACTAACCAATATTAAAGTTTTCTATCTAAATATCATGAGAAGTTTTTATTTTTTTAATATTAGATTGAAAGCTTTTATATATATATATATAATTGTGTTTTTTAATATGAGATAATAAACACTTTTAGTTTAATTATTTTAATTTAAAATGAAAAAATAATATATTTTCAATATAAAATAAAAAATCTTTTAAAATAATTTTTTAAATTTTATTATTAATAACATGTATAGTCTACATCTACATAAATTATTTATTAATTTTTTTATATGAGATATTGAAACTTTAAATATTTTTCTAATTATCTTGAGTTGACTCAGATTAATTCATATAATCAGACTACTTACCCACATCAATCCCTAGACCAAGTTTGCTCACCATGTTTGTAAGTGGCTTGCTATCATAAATGTCATGTCAAGATTAGACTCATCACTTTCACTACACAATAAACATCAATTCATGACTTTTTAGTGTGTTTGTTTGTGCGGTTGGATCATATTTTAAAAAATTAATTTTTATTTTTATTTTTAAATTAATATTTTTAATGTTTTTTTTATTGTTTTGATATGTTGATATAAATTTTTTAAAAATATTATATTAATATATTTTTAAATAAAAATATTTTATTTTATAGGTTGTTTCTTGACCCCAACATTCAAATTTAATTCTTGACCCCAACATTCGAATTTAAATAATAATTTTGGAACCTTTTTCTTTAGTATTCGGTGATTCTCCAAAATATAATTCATGGAATTTAAACTATGCAGCAATTCTGCAAAGTATTAATCTAATCATCACACAAATACTACACTTAGTTAATAACCATATTAAATCTCGGATGGCCTCTTGCTATTAGTTTGTAATGTGGTGCGGTGGTATTTTTTTTAAGTGTTTTTTCCTTGAAAATATATTAATTTTTTAATAATAATTTATTAAAACTATTTAAATTGTTTTTAAATAAAAAATAATTTAAAAAACAAAAAATATCACATTGCTAAATAAATACTTAACCACAATCTCAAATGTCAATTATATACCGACGAGTCAATTATATACCGACGAGGATTCAATATAATATTTAAAACTTGTTATTATAAAGGGATAATTTTGCTTCTTTTTTTTTTTGGTGCTTTATATATATTTAGTGTGTGTTTTGCTTTTGAAAAAGACATTAATAAAAAAATAATATTTTTTTGTTGATAACCCCCACTATTGAAAAAATAAATGACCAATTTATTTTTCAATACATACATTTAAAGTACCTTTCTTTTACCATATAGTAGGTTCTCCTCCCTAACATTTCAGATATTGTGGTCGTGGCCAAATGAATTTAGCAGGCTATTAGAGCTGTTCGTTTATTTTGAGTTCTAATATAAAATACAATAACATGACTGTATAAAGGGTGATGTTTTGCTCACTCCATAACTTATTATTAGCACTCCATTTATTATAGAGATTAAAGTACTCTTATTGAATATGTGATTTGATTTCTCTTTAATTTTACCTTCTAAATATACTCCTTTTAGTATTCCTTTTAAAGAAAAAAAATATTACATAAAAAAATATCTTTTTTATCTTCATTACTTGATTTAAGATTTTATACTTTACAATATATATTTTGAAGGATTTAAATTGTCAAATAGGAATATATATATATATATATATATCATACATTCATAATAAATACATTTAATAGTGAGTAACTAAATTATTGGTTTGTGTCTGCTGAAGGTCGGATCAATTTATTTAATATAAAAACAAATGTTTAAGCATTTTAGAGTTATTTTTTAATACAAAAAATTATTTATTTACTCAAAACATGATGCATATTGGATATATATATATATATATATAATATATATATATATATATATATGTATATATATGATGACATGTTTGATAACAATTATTTTTCAAATATTAAAATGATAATATAGTACATCAACTTGGGTTAACTTATCAAATTTATAACCCAAGATATAATAAGATTTTGATAACCCTATAAAAAAAAATTAAAATAAATTATGAAGGTCAACTCCTAATCAACCTCATATTTAAGGATGAAATTGAAAAATAAAAATATAAGTTTAAAAAAAAACAAAAATTTACTCGAGTTAACCTACCAAACTTGTAACTCGGGTAATAAAATTAGGATAACCTCATAAAAAAACACAAATTTCAATTTTCAACTAGCCCAATATTAAAGAATAAAATTAAAAAAATAATTTAAAAAAAAAATAAAAAAACCCAACCCAAGTTAACCCCAACTAAACAAAAAAGTAAAACACAAATGATTTCTAAAGTTCCACTTCCAACAAATTCAATGTTGAAAATTGAAATTATAAAAAAAAAAACTAAATCTATTAGACAACCTCGTATTAAAGAATAAAATTAAAAAATAAAAATAAATAAATAAGATTATTGAGTAGTTGAAGGGTAAAATTGAAAACAAATCAATTAAAAAAGAACACCAAAAAATAAATCAAGTCAACCTACCAAACCCATAACTTGGATCATGAAATAAGGATAACAACATAAAAAGCAAAAAATAAATTAAAAATTTTAATTAAAAAAGAAAAAAATAAATTAACTTAATTTAGATCAACTAGTCAAACTCGTGACATGGATCTTGAGATTAAAATAATCTCATAAAAAGCAAATTGAAAAAAATTACAAAGTTCAATTTCCAACCATATAATATTAAAAAATGAAATGAAAAAAATAAATTAAAAAAATAGAAAAAAAATCGATTTAACTTTTTAAAATTGCATCATGAGTCATGAAATCAAGATAAACTCATTGAAAAAAATACAAAAAAATACAAAGCCCCTCTTCCAATATATATAATATTAAAGGTTAAAATTGAAAAAAAATAAATAAACCCATAAAATCAATATAAAACCCAACATAAAAAAATATAAAAGAAAGCATGAAACTACAATCTATTTTATATTCCACCATAAATCATTTTTTCAATTCTTTTGTTATTATGCAGCATCCATAATTCTCTCAGTCATTTCTGATGTATGAAATTGTAACACACACCCGCGCTAAGAAGTCCAAATATTACGCAAAAATCTTTTAATCTCCTACAAGTTTCAATTGCAAAACTCTTTGTTTGTTTTGCAAATATATATATATATATATATATATATTCTTGAGTAACATATTTTTTATAGAAAATATTTTTTTTAAAATATGTTATTTATATGGATTAAGGTATATATTTTTCAATGATAATAATAATATGAGAAAAGTTATAATGTTTATAATAATGATAACGATGATAATTATTATGATAATATTTATAATGGTAATGATATCATTATTGATTATAGTTACAAGATAATGATAATTTTAATGGTAGACGTATTAATAATAATGATTATTATTATTATGATAATAATGATGCTATAAAATTATTACATGATGATAATAAATGGTTATTACTTTGATAATAAGATTGTGGCAATGATTATGAAAATAGCTATGGTTGTAGGTGGATGGTGATGATGTAAAAATAATAATTATTATAATTGATATTTTGGTGGTGATTATGTAATAGTAATATTAATGAAGTCAATATATATATATTTCAAATTAATACTTTTCAAAGATGGGCTGAAATAGATTTTTTGTTAATTTATTTTACAGTGAAAAATAGAAAATTTTTTTTCTAAAAAATACTTTCCACAAAACAAACATATTTAACTTCCAATTTAGTAATTTGCATACCTATTTTATAATTGTTTCGATCATTCAGTGAATGCACGGTATGATTGTCATTTTTTTTTTTTTGTGTGTAATTGCATTAAATTAAAAAAAGAAATTTTCAATCATGTTAAATTCATTCCTTTCGTCTATCCCTTTTCTTTTATTTGTTAAGATAAGACACCTTTTATTACCATGTCTTGTTAGATAAAAAACCACTTTCCTTGATTACTTGCCATAATAAACGGTTACAATGCAAACCAAAAACAAACAAATAAATAAATCTCAAGAAGAAAGTATGAATACATTGGCACAGGTTTATATTCAGCACGTTTGAATAAAATGAAATTTAATTTCTTAAAATAAATAAGATATTAACTCCTCTAATTAATATTTCTAAAAAAAAAAAAATTAATATCACAACTAATTTTTTAAAAATACTCATCTATTTTTTTAAATTTTTTTTTAAAGAAACAAGATAAAGATAAAAAAGATAATATAGAAAACAAAATAAATTAAATTTTACCTCCTAAATATATAAATTCAACTTATTTATTAATTAAATTCAAATCAAACATTTCACCTAAATTAAATGAACCCACGCAAACAGTAAGACCATGAATAATCCTTCGTTTATCTTCAACTTACCACGTCCAATACCAGATTTATATTTTCCATGTCAATTTTTCTTTTCTCTAGTTCAGTTGTGGCTTTGGTCAAGTATCTCCATTTCCAGGCATCAGGCCTTGGTGAGCGAGATCTTTCACCTTCCTGTTACGTTGCCAGTTTTGGAGCTTTGACCTTAATCTATCATTGATGAATCAGCTAGAAACAACACATGAAAATGAAAATATGCAGCAATATCTTCATATATATATATATAGCCGATTCATATGTTCTGTTTTGAAGGCAAGCTGCCATTGCGCCATAAAGACCAAGAATAAAGCCTAGCTCCAACTTCAAAATCCAAGGTTTCCGGTTTCCAGCAAGGCAGCAATCCTGATCAAGTCTCGCAAATAGAAATTCCAAAAGGAAGATGTGAACTAGGTCCCTCCATCTATATTTTCCAATACTTCTCTTTTAATTTCCAAAAACTAAAATTGTTTTCACACTAATAAACTGTCACAAAGTACTAAAAACGAGAGGGTGTAACCAAGCCCTTCTCAATGAAAGGGAAAACCACAAGAAAACACAACAATGATCATATTATACAATCACATTCACATTTTGGTGTGATAAAATTGCAGCCACTCAGTGTATAAGTTGTGAAAGAAAGTAACAAATACATACAAGATTGCAAGTTTCATGCTTCGTTCTCCACCTCATCTACATTTTTAATTATTTATTTCCTACAGATTTGAATGAAACCTAGAGTTTTTATTTTTTCTCCTTCTAATCTACAGTTAATTCCAAGATGGTGGTAAGTCTGGGTTTTCTATATCTTCTAAGAAGTAAAGACGAGCATACAACACTTACAGATGAAAGAGCCATGCAAGCACCGGCTACCCATGGTGGCAACATGATCCCTAGCGAAGGAAAGAACATCCCAGCAGCAATAGGTATTGCGATCACATTGTAAGCCATGGCAAAAATATAATTCAATCTAATGCGAGAAAAGGTTTTTCTTGAGAGATCAATGGCTGTGATTACATCCTCCAAGTTATTCCTCATCAAGACATAGTCAGCAGCTTCTATGGCGATATCTGTCCCCGCACCAATAGCCATGCCAACATCTGCAGCAGCAAGAGCAGGAGAGTCATTGATGCCATCACCCACCATTGCTACAATGCTTCCATCCTTTTGAAAAGACTGAATAACATCGGCTTTGCCAGCTGGCATTACTTCAGCCCTAACATCTTGAATGCCCACCTGCTCAGCGAAAAAGTACTTCAAGACTTTTTAGTTTTTTTTATATCATAAACCTTTCAAACATTACAAGGAAAACCTGAATTTATTTTCGTTGCCAAAAAAAAAGCCCACCCAATGTAAATCGATATTTTCTTTTTCACAAAGAAAAATCACAACAGTTTGTTTTTGTCCTACGAGCAGGCAAGTGAAACTAAAATCAGCATATAACGAGCCATTTAGCACAATAACAATGACCAACAAGAAGCTAGTAAGGGAGCACTTTGTTTCAAAAAGAGACCTATCAATAACAGCACAAATGCGAGGGAATGAGCAATAAATGATGCCAGCAACCAACAGTTAATCAACAAAATTAAGAATCTATCTGTTGTTTCATGTGGGTTACTAAACACATCATCATCAACTGTAAAATCACTACTAAAAACTGTTATAAAACATGTCATAATACAAAATTTTCACTTCATGAGAAGTATAGAAAAATAATATTTTGGTAAAGATAAAAACAAAACTGTCACAGCAGAACGTCAAAGGATTTGAGATTCTATTGTCTTGTTGGAATTAAGAGAAACGTAAAAGATAGATCAGAACCAGGATATATAAATAGGGTTTTTTCTATTACCAGAAAGTTGGTGTCTCCTTTTATGAAAGAGTGGACACTGACAAGGTGATTATTGCATTCAATTCAATCATGAGTTTACAAACTGTATATAATTGTGTGAAAATAGATTGTCCTTTGTGGAAATGGTAGGTACCGCTACCAAAGTTTCTGGATAAAATTTATGTGCGAGACAGCATAGAAATTACTACATTATTGACCGACGCTACACTATAGATTGATTCAAATTTTTCTTGAACATAAAAAAAAAACTGATCAGATGTTGCTAATGTTTTTTTCTGCAAAAAAAATTAAATTGGGTGAAGGTTGACCTAATATAACCATGTTAACTTTGTAAGTCAAAAAAACAACTCATACAACCCGTAAAAACATAGTTTTATTGGAAAAAAATTCAAAATAATTTCTTTTTTTAATATTAGGATAACAATTTATTGGATTGACTTAGGTCAACTTAGGTTAACATGTCAAATCCGTGACCTGAATTATAAGCCTACGATAACTCCATATAAAGCAAATCAAAATAAATTATGAAGCATAATTCTCAATCAACTCAATACTGAAGGATGCAATTGAAAAAAATATTAAAAATGACCTTAAAAAGTGACCCAAGTGAACTTGTCAAACCAGCTTGGGTCATAAGACTAAGATAACCCTATGTAAAGAAAATCGAAACAAATTACAATCCTCAATTCACCCAAATGTTGAAGAATAAAATTAAAAAAAAATCAATTAAAAAAAACATGAGTCAATCAACCAAACTTATAATCCAGATAATCAAACCTAGAAACCTCATAGAAAAAATAAAAAAAAATTACTTGATTTAACCTGTCAAATCCGTGACTTTAGTCATTAGACTGAAATAACTATATAGAGAGTAAATCAAAACAAATTATAAAACTTAATTTCAATAACCTTTGTCAGACCCAATTAAAAAATAAAATTTATAAAAATTTCTAATTAAGAAAATGACCCAAAAAGAGAGTCAAGTCAACCCGGGTTAATCTATTATGCACTATTATCAGGTCACGAGATAGAAATAACCTGATAAGAAACAAACCAAAACAAATCATGAAGCCTAATTTTCAATTAAACACGATATTAAATGATGAAATTAGAGGAAAAAATCAATTAAAAAAAAGAAGAAAAATAACTGAGTCCACTAGATTAACCTACTAAACTCGCGATCCGAGTTATGAGATGCAGACAACCCAATAAAAAGCAAACTTAATGTTGAAAGACTCGTGACTCATGAGACTAAAATAACCTTTTAGAAAGAAAATAAAAAAACAACCTGATTTAACTGAAGTTAATATGCCAAAACGCGTGACCTTAATCTTAAAACCAAGATATCCTAATAGAAAACAAATAAAAAAAATTATGAAGCTCAATTACTAACCGACCCAATGTTAAATGATGAAATTGACAAAAAAATTCAATTAAAAAATGACACAAAAAATGACTCCAATCAACCCGGGTTAACCCGTTATGCACTATTCTCGGGTCATGAAGCTGAAATAACATAATAGAAAGTAAACAAAACAAATCATGAAGTTTTATTCTCAATCAACTGAATATTAACTAATGAAATTGGAAAAAAAAAGTTAATTAAGAAAAAAAAACTTGAATCAACCAGGTTAACTCGTCAAATTTACGATCCGTGTTATGAGAATATGATAACTCAATAAAAACCAAATGATGAAATTAAAAAAAAAAACATTAATTGAAAGAAAATCAAAGAAGAAAAGAAAAAAAAATTGCAAAGCATTGATATTCAAATGAATAGGCTTTTTGAGGAGTTATAGTTAATAATACAAACCTCCTTAGCAACTGCACGTGCTGTCCTCCAATTATCCCCTGTCACCATGACTGGGTTGACACCCATTTTCAGAAGGCCCTCAATTACTACAGCAGCTTCTCTCTTTAATGGATCTGCAATCCCCAAAACACCAATTATTTTGTCATCAAACGAAACAAGGACGCCTGTCTTTGCACTTTCTTCAAGCTCTACTACAAAATGTTCTACTTGGTCTGGAATGGCAATTCCATTCTCAGTCATAAGTTTCCGGTTACCAACCTGTTAAGGATACAGTCCTATGAGTATTCCCAGACATGATTGAACATCTTTCTAGAGATTAAAGCTGCAATATATGTGACAGGTTTATGCCAAAGAACTCACCAAGATTCGTTTTCCATCTATGAAGCACTTCACACCACTTCCAGGATGAGCCAAGAAGTCTGAGACATCAAGAAGCCACCCAGAGATTGTAGACCCTTTGCTGGGGGTTTGGCCATCATTGGTTGCAGGAGGGTCATCAAAGGAATGGAAATGGCGTGCATGTTCCACAATTGCTTTTGCCAATGGATGTTCACTGCTAGCCTGAGACATGTGAACAGGGTAATGGGGAATCAGAGATTGTTTTTATATTTTTGAGTGGGGGGGGGGGGGG